AATTTTTTGCCCTTTTTTTCATTTGTTTATGTGATTCTTTTTAAAAACAATTTTAACAGATTTTATTTGTTAGAGCTGTTTTAAGTTTACAGAAAAATTGCAAGAAAATGCAGAGAATTCTTATATACCCCCTCTCGCTACACAGTTTCCCTGTCGTTAACATTAATTAATTTTCAAAAGTACCTGGAATAAATCCCACTTGATCATGATATATAATTACTTTTATATATATTTGGATTTGATATATTAATATTTTGTTGAGGATTTTTGACTCTATGTTCATGAGAGATATTGGTCTGTAATTTTCCTTTTTTATAGTGTCTTTGGTTTTGATATTAGGGTAATGCTGGCCTAGTAGAATGAGTTAGGAAGCCCCTCTCCTTATGTTTTCTGGATGAAATTGTAGAGAGTTGGTATCATTTCTTCCTTAAATGTTTGGTAGAATTCACCAGTGAAACCATCTGGGCCTGGTGCTTTCTGTTATGTTATGAATTGTTGATTCAATTTCTTGAATAGATACCAGCCTGATGAGATTATCTATTTCTTGTTTTATGAGTTATGGAAGACTGTGTCTTTCAAGGAAATGGCTTGTTTCATCTAAGTTTTATCAAATTAGTGGGCATAGGGTTGTTTATAATGTTCCTTTATTATCCTTCTAATGGCTGTGAGAGCAGTAGTTATAATATGTGTCTTCCTTTTTTGCTTGGTTAGCCTGGCTAGAGATTTATCAATTTTATTGATCTTTTCAAAGAATGACCTTTTGGTTCTATTGTTTCTACTCTGTTAATTTCCTGTTTTCAATTTTTTTTGCTCTAATTTTTTTTTCTTCTTCTTGGATTTCATTTGCTCTTTTCCCCCCTAATTTCCTAGCTTAGATTATTAATTTTTTATCTTCTTTTTTAATATATACACTTAATGCTATAAATTTTTCTCTAAGCATGTCTTTTGCTGCACTACACACATTTTGATGGTTTAATTTTTATTTAGTTCAAAATATTTTTCAATTTGTCTTGAGATTTCTTCTTTGACCCATGTGTCATTTAGAAGTGTGTCGTTTAACCTCCAAATGTTATGGGGTTTTCTAGCTAGCTTTCTGGTGTTGATTTCTAATTTAATTCCATTGTGGTTGGAGAGCATACTTTGTATGATATCTATTATTTTAAATTTAAGGTGTGTTTTATGGCCCAGACTGTGGTCTAACTTGGTTAATATTCCACGTAAGCTTGAGAAACATATGTAAAGTCCAAAATAGGTTTTACTGGACCCAAATCAAGGTATTTGCAGGGCTGCTCTTCCTCCAGAGGCTCTATGGAGAATCAGTTCCCTCGCATTTTCTAGTTTCTATAGGCCACAGGTTTCCTCGGCTTGTAATTCCTCCTTCTTTAAAGCTCATCATTCAGCCTCTGTTTCTGTGGCCATATTGCCTCTCTTTTTGACCCTCCTGCATTTGCCTTTTAAGGACTCTTGTGGTTACATTGCACCCACCTAGATAATATAGGATAAGCTCTCTATCTCAATGTCCCTTATACCATGTACAGTAACATATTCATGGGTTCCAGGGATTCAGAAGTGAACATCTTGGGGACGGGGTTAGGGAGCATTATCAGGCCTTCCACATTAGCAGAATCAGGATTTGATTCGAACTCAATAAGCTTGCTCTTGGAACTGCTCTTCTTTCTGCCTTCCCTACCACTTACACACCTAAATGTCTCATTTGTGCTTTGTTTTTATTGTTTGTTTTTACCTTTCCCAGTAGGATGTAACTCTTCTGAAATGGGACATGTAACATTTGAACCATATGAATTCAGATAAATGAGATTATATATATGAAATGAGGCATCAGGAATAGAGGAAATAATGTTCTCATTTGATTCCCCAGCGCTTTAAGGCTACGTGTATCTGACTTTTCCAGTTAACTAATTACCTCCTAATATTTACATAAATTATAATTTAAATATTAATATTAAGGTGTATATTATATATGCATAGATATTTTAACTTTTAAGTAGCCACCAAAGCTAGTAGGTACTGTTTTAGACACAGCTCTAATCTCCATCGTTCCTCTAAACTGGCCTTCTAGAATTGTAATGCATATATTAAATAAAGATGGTTTATCCAAAATGAAAATTCTTCTAACAGCTCATGTTTCCTTAGTTTTGGTTTCTTTTTTTGTGGGAACAGAAGTAAGATTTTATATGTCAGAGGAGTTTTTTTAGCAATTTTTAGGTAGAACAAATTTGCCATTGAGTTTGTTTTGCCTGTTACTATTTTTCTAGTCATCTGAAAGCATAAGCAGTAGTCAAAAGCCTTGGTAATTTATTTTATCATATTCCTTTATTCCTAGAAAAATTTTGTGAAAATTTAACTATTAACACAGGCTACTATAGTAAAGGAGTATGTGAAACCACATTTGGATAGTGTTTTCATTATGCTGGCAAATTTAACTACATTTTCTAAGCATTTTATGTGAACCCCACCCATACTGTAACCTGTTTCTCATTTTGATGAGGTCCAAGCTTGACAAAAACAGTAACAAAAAAGTCTTCCTGTGTGGCCTGTAGATACCAAATCTGAAGGAAGATTATTAATGAATTTCCAGCTAGGGACCATAAGCAAACAAACTCTCCTACAGATAACTACACCCTTCCTGTTTTGGGATTGAGTTTACTGTGGAACAGATTTCGGAAATAGGTTTCTGACAGTTGTGAATTGTATTTATAAAATGTTGGAGGGTGAGGTCTTCCTTTAACAAAAAACTAATTATTTCCTGTCTAATACCCAACGAGTACATTTTAAGCAGTCTTTTTAGTAAATTTATCCTCTGGTGTAGGGAATTATGTTGCTTTTAGCAGTTCTGGTTGTTCTTGCTAAGATGCAAACACTTATTTAATTTCCAACAAAAAATTCAAAAAGGACTTAAAATTTAAAAATAAAACTTTAAATGTTTACAGTATCTTGTCTCCAGAGTGACAGTAGTTTACAGTTTAAATAAATGCATGAACATCTTAATATGGTTTTATTTTTCATATGCAAATCTATAGCATATTTATGTTCTGTAAATATGCTAAATGAAGACTTACAGTTTAGGTAGAAGGCAGATTTACATTAAAGAATTTGCAGGTTAATTCACAATGTAACATTATCCTCATCTAGTACATCTGTTACAAAGAAGCCTGTAAAATTTAGGCCACCCAAAAAGCAGGCTGCTGAGGCCTGTGGTTGTTGTTAGAATGTTGTTATTATGTGGGCTGACTCGTTTGGTAAGGAATTCACCTCCACTAGGACTGTGAAACATCATGCTTCTGACTTTCCTCCAGGGAGATTACATTGGCTTGTCTTAGGTACTATGTATTTGTTAGACCAGTCATAATATGTTGTATTATCATATGTAATATTATCTCAGTAGTATACTGTTTTCTAAGTAGGTTTATCAGAATACCGGTATCAGTTCTCAGTCATGTAAACCTTAGGATAAACTAGAAAAAATGGTTCGTTTAAATTGCTAAATGAAACTTAATGGTTATTATGAGTAAATTTCATTACTGTTTAGAAAAATGTGTATGTGTGTATGTGTATCTGATGTGGAGAAGGCAGATAAGGAATTTTTATTTATTTACTTATTTATTTTTTTTAAGAGACAGGGTCTCACTCTGTTGCCTAGGCTGAAGTGCAGTGATGCAGTCATAGCTCACTGCAGCCTTGAACTCCTGGGCTCAGGGCCATCCTCCTGCCTCAGCCTACCCAGTAGCAGGAATTACAGATAGGAGCCATTGTGCCCCGTTGATAAGGGTTTTATATATTGTAATTAATGTGACATTCAAAGAATTTGTCCTTTAAATTTCTTTGAAACTTGTCGATTTTTTGGAGAGCAAGGAAATGAATTTAGTATAATTTAGCAACCTAAAACTGAGAGTTAAAATTAAAAATATTCTTTAAATAGCTATTTTTAAGCAATCAAAACAAATATTGCAGACATTGAAAAAATATAGCAGCAGCCACTACAACTAGCAGTGACCATTTGAGGAATAAAAACTTGTCATAAGCCGAGCAATGTTTCATATCACTTATTTCTAAAGTTTTTCAAAATGAATGAAACCCTTTTGGAGAATAAACAATGTTAAGTTGAGTGTTATTGTTAAGTTAGGAAAGAAAAATTAATGTAAAAGTTTTTAAAAAACAGATAATTTGTATTTCACTTAATTTTCATGGAAAATTAACTAACTTTTTATTTAAATACATGAATTACTGAGTAGGAAAAATAGCATAGAAATCTAAAATGCATCTGGTGACTACACATTAAGGAAATGACATTTAATGTGGAAGAAACTCAGAAATTTTTAGACAGGAAATATTTAATTGCCACTGATAAACATATATATACATATTGACATAAAATAATAATAAAATCTACACATTGAAGTAGAAGAATATATACATATTATATACATGCATATTGTCTTGACTGTAACTCTACCTGGATGACTTTAGCTATGTTAAACATTTATAACTTGAAAAGGTTTTTTTAAGTAGGTACTTTCGGCATTCTTATAGTTCTTGATTGTATAATAAACAGAATGTTGAATTTGTCATCTGCACGATTCAAACAAAGAATCTAAAGTTAGGGGCTTACAAACTTTTTTCTCCCAAACAGATAAATGAACAAAGCCATTGATATGCCTCACCTAGCCTTTGTTCTTAGATATTCTCATCTCTAGTCTGATGTCTTTTGAGTAGACTATCTTATACTGACAAATGCCATGCCAAATTTCTACATTTGGTCATATGGTATATTAATGTTTTTATTCTCAAGTTGTCAGCAAATCTTAAAGATAAAGGTTTAACTGGCCTCTGGCAGTAGTGACAATGCAAGGGCAAGAGAGGGGGAACAGTATTATTGTGTCTTCCCTTTAGACTTATGCATCATAGTTTTGTTAACTCAGCTAAGTATTGAGCTAATTATTTTCACTCTCAGCTAACCAGAGTATGTTTCACCTTTCTAGGTTTACCGACAAGACTGTGAAACTTTTGGGATGGTGGTGAAAATGCTGATTGAAAAAGATCCTTCGTTAGAAAAGTCTATACAGTTTGCATTGAGGCAGAATTTACATGAAATAGGTGAGCGGTGTGTTGAAGAACTCAAGCATTTTATTGCAGAGTATGATACTTCTACTCAAGATTTTGGAGAGCCTTTTTAGATTTTTTTGCTCAGGCAAAAAAAAAAAAAAGAGTTTCTAGATTCACCCCCCCCCGCCCCCGATTGCGTAAATCCTTAATATATGGAATTTTTGTGATGAAGAGAAATACTTTATGATAGTTGACCATACTTCCAGTATCAAATAAACATTTAAAATAGTCTGTTTAAAATATTTTAATTAGATTTTTTTTCTACATGTAAAGCCTCCTAATTCATATGCACCTTTCCCCCCTGCCCCCTAAAATGATGGGTCAATTAATTTTTCAAGCTTTCCAAAAGCAGTCCTGAAGAACAGCTTTCTGTGCCTACTCATGTTCTATAGTCTTCCAAGTATATAATCATTTGTTTGGTCACAGGAGTGTAATTTACAGGCTAGAGATCATACCACTTAAACATTAGTAGTCTTTTTGCATTTCATAGTGAATGGTACCATGTGAAAATGTTAGAATGCTGAGTTGTGATTTTATTGACTTGTTGCTTGCTTTTCTTAGGCTTTGTGACTTTTAATATGTTAAAGTGTACTATCATAATAAACCGAATACTTTGGTATCATAGAGAATATTTGCTTTGAGAATAAGTCTCATTCAATGATAACATAGAGCGCTTAAATCTCTGAGAGACACCTCAGAATAAAATCCTTTTTTCTAAGTAAATGAACTCAATGTCATCTATTAATCCTGAAACTTCTGACTCTTTCACTGATGTATGAGCCTTTAAGCAATATCATTTATAAGACTAATAAAAGGGACAATTTGAGATGACAGATTAGGGATATTTTAAAGTTGAAATTTCTGATCAAAAGAGGAAAAATTTAGAATGTTTTATTTTTTCATAGGCCCAGTAATGGAGTTTTTTTTTTTTTTTATAGACCTCTATTCCCCACCTGAAGAAAGAAGGTGATTGATAACATGCCCATGATTACACTATTTACAGATTATTCCCTTGTTAATCTCTGTAGTCTAGTGAGTTCTTTGTTCTCCTGCCTTTTCGAGGTCCTTAGCCCTTCAAAAGCGTTCATGAAAGAAACAAAGCAAATAGGTGTTGATGGTAAGCCCGACACAGCTACCCCTTACCAAGCAGCCTGTGTGAACAGTCCTTCATGAGTGAGCCATCCAAATCTTAACTAATTCTTAACTAATCCACGGGTTAGTTAAGAATCCAAGTGGGACGATTAGGATGTTCCACTCATTTCCTGATCACTTCCAGCAGCCCAGTGGCCCTGAGCCAAAATATACAATTTTGCAGTATTAGTTAGTGAGGAAATCTTGAAAATCTTGTTTGTTATTACTACCCAATTTCATTATCCTCCCATCCTATTTTGGTTTCTACTCTCTTCTTACTCAAATTCTGGCATTATTTTCAGTGGCCTCTACTGATAGTATCTAAAGAGCTACCCCAAAGCACATAAAAAGTATATTAAAATTG